CCTTCCCACAAATTGGTTTCACTTGGACGAAATTTCCATATAAAACAGGCTGAAGAAAAGGCTGAGCCCTACGCGAGCACAGTGTTTGTTAGAAGATCAGATACTACAACCAGCAGAGTTTGTCACACAGAACAGGGTATTGTGGAAGCTTGCAAAGGATTAAAACACACCGAAGCACAGGGATGTGTCTGGGAGTGCTACAGACTTCGGCACAGCTGGGGAAATTGAGTGAGGAAACAGAGGCAGGAGGAGAGATGCCTGAGAAGTAACTTCTAACTCACAAGCAGGCAGCAGAGCCCCCATCAGCTCCGTTTTGGCCTTAGTGAGTACACAGAGAGGAGCTCAGTTTAAATGCAAAGGGCTCCTTCACTATCAAATGTGGTGGGGACTGGAATATCTCTGCTTACAGCCACAGAGCCTGCTCACCCAGGGAGGTTCGGCACCTCTATAACACATGATGCAGCCCAGGGCAGAGCAATTGCAGCCTCAGGAAGGACATTTGCCTCTGAAACCTCCAGGTTTAAGAGGCTATGGGTGCTTTTCCAGCTGCAGGACTGATACATGTCCATTATCCCAGATAGATCCTCTATATTCCAGCCCTCACATCTGATCTCTGATCTCCCGAGATGCCCACCCTAGCTGGGCAGGCTGGACAGGGACAACTTGCAACTGGAATGGCTCTTGATGAGCCACATACATAGATGTGAGAGGCTGCATGTTTCCCATGAGTTGCTATTTAGGAAGCCTTGGGCTGAGGAAGAAGTTATGCCTGCAGACACAGCACCCTGGGCTGTGATCTAATAAGCTGCATAGAGAAGGTCTGGGCATAAACCCTCTGGAGAACCCAAAGAACACACTTTGGTGGTTGTGGGAGAAAAATAAAGCCAGGAAAACAAAGCACAGCTTGAATGTGAAGGGTGGATGAAGCTTGATTTGGTTCTGCTGCTGCCGAACTGATTTTATCCTCCCTTTTCTCTGCTTTGTTCAGTTTTGTAATTGCCCCCAAAATCATTTACAAACCAGAAGTTCTCCCTAGAGGCCAAAATCACTCTCATGGGGGCCACTTTTAGCCTGGCCCTTTTCAAGCCCTTCCCTCTTCCATGTCTGCCCTGGGCACAGAGACGTCATTAAGACCTGTTCTTAGTTCCTCTGCTTGAGAACCTTTCTGGCAAACCCAAAAAGGGGAAAGAGGGAAGGAGAGCAAGAACGAGGAAATAAAACCATTGCAGGATGAGGGAATCTCCAGTATCTACAAAAAGAATCAGCTCTGCCAAGACCATCTACCTCCACAGGCAGGAGAGGTCAATCTGACTTCCTTGTTCCTTGCCAACGGGTACAGTCCAAATAACTTATTAATGGTAATGAATCCACTAATCACAAGACCCTTGTGCTCTGGGGAAAAGACATGAGAAACTAAGCCCCAGGATGGATCTTGTTATCACATTAGAAAGGATTAACACCCCTTTCTCGGCCAGCTGCCCAGTGCACATCTTTTTCTGGGCTTGCAGCAGCTTTTGCAATGTGTTTTTCCTTCCTGCATGTTCTCTGCTTCATCTCAGTTTTCCCAGCCCAAACATCCCATGCAAGACATCCTCCACAGCCACTGGAGTAAGTGTGTTGAGTGCAATCCTGCTACAGCTTTCTGAGGAGCAGAGGAGGAAAGGGAGAAGGTGGAGGAAACTCAGCACCAAGCAGGATCCATTCCCTTCAAGAGAGGCTGCTCCCTGGAGGAAATCCTGCTGACAATCCAACATTGCAGCACAGAGGGATGCCAGGAGGAACAATTAAGTAGGACTCAGAGGTACCTTTCAGACTAACTCAGAGCTGTCTGCCTTGGCCGTCTGAGCCTCCTCACAGCTCTACAAAAGCCAAGGAGCCAAAGGCAGTACAATGCCAAACAGGTATGGGGTTAATTAAGACTGAAGTGTTCACATTATAACTGTCCTGCAGCATTAGACAAACACAAAGCGCTTCACAGCTCTCTCCCCTCTCCTGCCTCCAACCCACTGAGTTCCTTGAAAGGCTCTATGAGAGGGAAGATGCTCCTCTGCATAACAACACGCAAGCGAGGAGCAGCCCCAGCAGCAACAACCCAGACAGGCTGGGGGTGACCCAATTCCTTTATTAACAGTGATATCAGCCCATGATGGCAAGAGGAGACACAGGGGCTTTGTGGGGAGACACACATCCTGAAGATCTTATGAACTGCTTGCTTCACTTGCTCTCCCCATATATGCACAGAACAGATCAACCAAAAAGCTCTTGTGAAATTCCAGCTCCCATTGCCAGGGATCTCCAGCTCTCACACACATACCAGTGGAGACCATCCTGGCACTGCTGTTCCCCACTGTGAGCTCCCCACGGCTTGAAGTGTCTGAACCACCAGAGGCTTCCAAAGCCCCACTCTGGTCTCCAGGACTGGCCGGGGAGTGACAGCTCCTCACATGCCCTGAAGAGCAGTGACCCACTCCAGTTTATTGCTTGCCACTACTGCAAGAGCCCAGTTACTGCCTGCAATTCCTTCAAAGTCTCTGCTAGAAGAGTCCTTAATAAATCCAGCCTCCTTCCAACATGATATTATATTGCATTGCAACAGGGCAATTTTCAAAGAGACAGAGAAAAGCACCTCAAAAGAAGTCCCCAAATCTTTATCAGAATGTACTATATTTAAAAATAGCCTCTTTTACTTGCAGCTGCCAACTTTCAAGGGGGATTTAAAAGAAATGGTTTCCGCAAGAAGAAGAATGATGGCAAAATTCAAAGTCACTTCTTCCATCTGATGCCTGCCTTCGAGTTGAATGGCCCAGAAAGCTGCTGGCAGCAAGTGTGCAAAGCAGCATGCAGCAGGTAAGAAACTGTATTTGAAGCACTGGGCAGCGCTCGCTTGAACTTCCTTTATCCAGAAAGGCTTTGGGGCTATGACCTTCCTTGCCTGGCACCCTGGCTTGTGTTCAGATGCTCACCCTCACTTTAAAGCAGTTCTGTTTTCATCTGGAAAGGTTTGACACCACCATCAAGGTAAGCCTCACCAGTAAGTCAGGTCTTATCCGTAATAGGCTGTAAGGAAAACCTGAGCTAGGACCTGGAGCTCAGCCCCAGCCTGGACACACAGCTCACCCACTGAAGGGCTGGAAAACATTTTTAGGCCAAGGACACCACCACTGGGATTTAATGGGACTTGGCAGACAAAACTAAACAAGCAGAATCTCACTCCCCCTTTCCCACAGAATAGAATTCTGTTTACTTCTAACCACAACCAGAGCTTAACTTTAATCCTGCATCCTCTGGGTGAAGGTTTTGTTTTGGCTTTGTTCTCTCTGGCACCTTCCCCTGTAAAGGGATGGATGGTTTGGGCTCTCCAGCACCAATCCCAAGCACAGCAACTTGGCACAGGGATGGAGAAGGAGGACACAGTGATGGACCCCACTCCAATCCAACCTGGTCTTGACTTTGCCTTTATCTCCACAATCTTGTAAGGAGATGGCATCCTGCTGCTGGTCAGTAGGACCTGATAGTTTGGGTCCAGTACTGTATATTTTGGTCTGTCTGTACAAGAGCAGGAAGATGTAACC